TTTTAATAATTCTTGTTTAAAGTCGTACAAAATCATTTTGTTGATAGAAAAAAAATCCTAACGTGTTCCATAAACTTCCAGCTCAGCCACACCAAACTGATCTTTTGCGAAAAGATCGGCTTGTTGAAACATTACATACCTGAATCTCAAATAAGGTGTCTTACAATTTAATTTCTCCGAAGAACTTGAAAGAAAATTTGTTGTTGATACGGCGCATAGAGTATTTCTGTTTATAGTCCTGTTGTTGTTGAAATTGTTTGTCAGTCCTACAGAATAACCATTAGCACGTTGCCCTACATCCAACAAAAGTATTGTAAAAATTTTCTCGTTTAAAATGCGAGAACAATTTGAATTTTTAAGCTTAGGTTATTTTAAAAATTTTAAAATTTGCATGTTTAATTGAATAATTATACTTTTCCTCACAGTTTGAATCAGAGCGAGGGTAGAGAATAACATAAATGACTCGATATATTTTTGCAAGATCAATTACAAACCATCCCGGGCTGTTACTTTCATCTGTGTTTGCTAAATTATCGTATTTTCCATCTACTGCATTTTTAGGAATATATTCACCATAAATGGAACTTGAATATATATCTTTGTTCAACGCTAAATTTGTCAGCTGGCCTAATGTTAGAAAATTTTTAATAATATTGTTTTAAAACTTCAATTACAACGTTGAATCAAAATTTTGCCTAACACAATAGTATACCATTCAATGTATCGGGCAGCGAGAGTGCCAAGCAGATTGCAATTAAAAAGTTCTCCAACATTTTTACATCAGATAGTAAGATGACATATTAGTCAAAATTAAACTGCGTGACTTTTGCTTCTGTCAACATATGATAAATAATCATTTGACAGCCAGCCTCAACTGTTGGACACAAATCATGAAAAAAATTTACCCAAACCAAAAATTGTAGTTAATTTTTGAGAAAAATTAATGAAAAATTACCTGTAATATAATTTACCTTTATACAACACAAAATGAATGTATTATCAAACACAGACTAATGCATAATCACTACAAATCTTAACAACAACAACAACACTAGATTGCATTGTTTAAACCAGCACTATGCTACAGAACCATCTTATTAACAAATGAGTTCGCTAATAATAATGTTAAAACCAGGAAGTTTTTTTTATAAGAATAGTCACCAATTCTTTCATTCATTCATTCGTTCATTTGTTCGTTCGTTCATTCATTTATTTCTCTATTTATTCATTCATTTGATCCACTGATAGCAAAACAATGCTTAACTTAAAGCGTATTTTACTTCGGTAAAATTTCAAAAATTTTCCATCACATGCGCGTACGAACGAATGAGTATCATGGTATCTAGTATTTTGACACTTAGTTAATTTGATTTGCACAATCGCTCATTGAGATAGCTACGTAAAAACAAATAGATGATTAACTAAACTCGCATCCTATCTCTTGTAGGATTTTCTAAAATTAAAAAAATTTTCTAAATACAACTTCGAATTGTTATTTCTTGTTTTTTAATTATGCCATGTAAGGACTGAATGGCAACGTATTGTTAATGAAAGTTTACTTAACTTTCATTAGAATTTGCGAATTTTATCTCAAAAAAGTTACTTGATTTTTAGTATTTAATCTTTTTTGTCGAAAAAATATCCATAATAAACCTGTTCAATAACAATTATATTGTCTTGTTATAAAAGTAATGGAAAAAAATTTAAAAAAAATGTCAATTTTAAACACATTTAGCATGAGTATATCACAAAAGTTCATTGAATGAGACAAAAACAATATGGCTTGCGATCGTATGAACGCGTTTAAGATTGTAAATTTAAGGGCATTTAGAAAATAAACTTGTTAAATAAACGTTTAAACTATTTAAAAATTATTATTCTTTTTCAATTAAAGGCAAGTTTATTAGCTCTATCACAAAAAACTCGTACATGAAAATAAATAACATTAAATGCGAAAAAAAAAGAAATGCATTGCTAAGATGAACTTTTCAAACAAAACACGAGAAAAAGGTTTCACTAATACAGAATTAGCTCTGTTATCAACATAAAATTAAAAATAAAATCCGAATAAAATCTAATTTAAGTTAAAATCAGAAAATAAAGAGAATTATCTACAGAAAATTTTCAAACAAAACTCAGGCGAGATCCTTTAACATTGGTAGCTGTATCGTACAGCTCATTGCCGCCATTAGTATCTCTGGAGTAGTCGTTATAAAAATTACTATTATTATTATTATTATTATTATTATTATCATCATCATCATCATCATTGTTGTTGTTGTTATTGCAGTTGTAATTGCCTCTGAAATTGCCAATATTACTGTATTGTGGTGAATCAGTGTTATTATTGTTATTATTATTGTTGTTATTGTTGTTGTTGTTGTTGTTGTTATTGTTGTTACTAAGAGAATGATTGTAATAGGTGTGATCCTGAACTTCGTTATAGCCGTACTCGTAGACTTCACCGTTATACACAGGGTTCTCTTGGAAAGAAGCACCACTCTTAGTGTTGTTGTTATTATTATTTTTATTATTACTACTATTTTTATTGTTGTTGATGTTATTTTTGGTGCTTTTGCCGAGTTTGTTGTTGTCATTCAGTCTGATTGTGACAATGTTGTTGTTGTTGTTGTTGCCATCAATGCTGTTGTTAATGTCTTGGTCGTAAGAAACGCCATTGTCATTAGCATTGCGGTTTTGGTTAATGTTATTGTTGATGTTGTTGCTGTTGCTGTGGTTAATGTTATTGTTGTTTCCATTGTCTCCATACATAACAGTTTTCCTAGCAGAGTAAGATCCGTATTTCAAGTTGCCTCGTTTGTCTTCATTAACCCCCAACAAATATTTACTAGCAAATGTGTGAAGTCTGATATATCTCTTCAAGCTTATCTGCTCTTGGCTTTCATCGTTTTCATCTTTGTTGGTTTTATACTCGTTGTTGTAAGTTGCGGTTTGTTTGCTGCTGCTGCTGTTGCTGATGGTGTTGAGGCGAGGTTTTTGTTGGTAGACAGTCTGGTAGACGTCTACTTCGTTCTGTTGGCTCTTCATTTCGTGTAGGGATAACATGGCGATCACATCGTCCACGCTCATGTTTGGAGATGGTCTGGTGGTGGTCGGTTTATCTAATTCTATATTTTTTATTATTTGAATCTTAAATTATATACCAATGTAACTAAGTAAAGTAATTAGAGTCATTTACCGAATTTCTAAAAACATTTCCAAAAAAATTTTAAAAATCCTACTTATATAAGACAGTAATTGGAGGGGAGTTAGGATCTTGAAGAATATTTTTCACCAACGCGAACAGTTCACCAATTTGGCTCATCGTTCGTATGCAGTAGAACGTGAGAACGTCATTCTGGTTTGAACTGTTCTCCTATTTGATGAGTTGAAATTAAAAAGGTTCTTTGAAGTAGTTGAGTAGAATTGAAAAAGTTTTGACGTTTTCTGTAAAATAACTGAATAAGTCAACATTGAAATTGAAATAAACTCACGTAAATTCCATCAGTGGCCACATTCTTATTTATGTATTCACTCGTTGTGACAATTTTTAATTTCACCAAAACATCTCCACCCTTCCCGATCACGTGGTGCAGTACCGAACCCCCAAATTTCATCGTGGGTTCTTTATCGTTCGGTACGAAATTAAATCTCTGAGGAGAGAGTGTCACATTAAAAATTGCATTTCTAACATTTTATACATTAGCGGCAAAATTGTTAACGGTGCCCGATTCTACTTGCAAGCAACCGGGTTGGAATATAACAAGATTTCAATCTATCATGCCGAAAAAGCGTAAGGTAGGCTAGGGTTTCGACGCTTTTACGGTTTTGCCTGCGTTATTGACTTAGAAAAGTAACACTACCACTGTTAAAAGTGATTCTAAACCAATTTAGAATTGTCTTTCATAATCGAATTTGAAAACTTTATCTACCTGTATGTCATCGTTGACAATTATGACGAAGCCAGGATCACCATTCAAGATGACGTTGTAGAAATCCTCACCAGACATTTGATCTAGCAAAGCTCCTACCACATATGCACAATTCTTTACAAAACCCTTGGTGAATTTTTATAACAGTTTCAGGATTATGTTGAGTTTTAATGGGAAGGTTTGAAAAATCTTTTGTTATTCAGTGTTTTTTCTATGAAAATTTTTGTAGTATGTGCTATTTATGTGATATAATAAATACATATGAATAAATAAAAAATATTTAAAAAAATCACTTTTTGAACAAACACGTCCATATGGCCAGCACTCAAGTTCTTGCGTGTCACATCTTTAACTGTTAAAATTCAAATTACAAAAGAGAAACTATTAAGAAAATATCATCTGTTGACTTTATTATTGTCCTTCTTATTATCATTAGTACTAATAGCAGAAGCAACAGCAGTAGTAGTGTTTGTAGTAGCAGCTTTAGTAGCAGTAGCAGTAGCTACAATCGCAGTAGAAGTAGCATTAAAATCTTTTTTCAAACCAACCATGTAATTTCGGATTGTTATACTTCTCCTTGATCATCTGAGTGAAAAAATTTTGTAAGTTTTAAATAAAAATTGGTATTTTGAAAAACTGAAATAATACAGTAATACATTATTAGTAATTTTTAATTATTTAAATTTAAATTAATTAAAAAAACTAATTTTTATTTCTTTACTTCAAATTGAGACTTGTATACGTCTTCCTTGTTTCGCCTACTTAGGAATTCATCAACATCAGCGCCCTCCACCTTAAAATACGTCCTGCCGTTCAGTTTCACGTAAACTATCAAAGCTTCGTAACAAAAATCGTACTGCTTCTAAGTTGGGGAAGAAGTAATTGTTGTCACACCTTTTAACTAATTAATCAATTCAACGCCAACTAAACACAGTTACACACACTCCTTCTTTCTCACACACACAATCGCTCTTCCTCTCTCTCTTTATTTCTCTCTTTCTCTCTCTCTCTCTCTCTCTCTCTTTCTTTTTCTATCTTTCTCTCTCTCTCTCTCACACACACACACACTCACACACACACACACACACACACACACACATTAACACATACCACGGCCTGAATCATGTGATTTCGATAGGATCTCAATAACTTGAGACACTTGTAGACATCAACAGCCTCAACATCGACAGCCTGCCTGATGAGGTGGTCCAGGGCGATGAAGGTCCCCGTACGGCCTACCCCGGCACTTTTGTGGTTGTGGGAGTTGCGATTTGGTGGTTTTGGTGGTAATGTTGTTTGGCAGTTTGGTTGAGGGTAGAGGTTATGTTTTTGGTAATTTGGTGAAATGTGTTCGTTAAATAAAGTTGGAAAGAATGCAATTTTCTGAAGTATGTTTGTCGGTAATGTGGTTTCAAATGTGGTTTTAACAAATACACAATAATGACTTTTACAAACTACTTAAAAAAAATTTTTTCTAAAAGTATTTTCTAGTAAAACGAATGTCAATATCTAAGAAATTGACAGCTGTCCAAACCTGCAATGTGTGAGGACCTTTGTCGAAGAGTGTCCGCTCGGTTTCTTGCTGTTGAAAGATTACAAAATTCATTTAATTATTTGTTTGTTTTTACATTTGTTTATTAATTTATTTATTCATCCTAATTTTGTCAAATCAAAGAAAACAAAAACAGATATTAAATCAAGTGAATAAAACCTGTTGATCTTGTTAACCAGGGTCTGCATAACGTGCTGGAAGTTGAGGAGGCTGCCGACATTTTCTGGCACGTTCAGGTCGGGCCAGCTGTTGTATTTGAGGTGAGTCACTGTCAGTTCTTGAGAGTTCTTAAGGGGTAAGGGGTGATTTAGTTACATTTAGTCGTTGGTTTCGTTATTGCACTATTTTATCTTTGAACTAAACATTGATAAATCATATCACCAAAAATATACAAACACCACAAATTTTTTCATCGTGATCTTTACTTACGTATAAAACAGAAAATGTCCTAATTTTGTAATTGGGCCAAACTTGAAGTCCCTTCAGTGTAATGAGGAGGAAGTCTTCACTGCCACTACCTTCCAGAATGTTAATATTCAGCGTTTCTTTGTCTGACCAGTATTTCTGGCATTTTACCTAGTTGTATTGTTATAATTAGTGAGTGGTGAAATGGCGTAATGGTTATGGCGCCTAGTCTTGATGTTGTTGTAGCCGGGTTCAAATGCGAAAAGATCTCCGCATGTCAAATGTGATGTGTGTGATGCTTGGGTTCATTCTCTCTCTCTCTGTGTGTGTGTCTGTGTGTGTGGTGTGTGTGTCTGTGTAGCTAATGTTTCTGAGTGATACGTTAAAAAAACGTGGAAATGTTAAAAAATCCAAAAATTGATATTTCATCCATGAACGGTTTCCTTACTTTTCCATTCTCTTCCAGTGGAGTCAGCATCACGACGACTTCAACGCCTACCTCAACTATCATCCTCCAGAAGTCATTGACCGTGTTCAACTGCGGACCTTTGAGACAAAAAATTTTCTTTTCCAAACCAAAATTTTTCCAAATATACAACTTGTTCTCTCAAGTTTTTATAGATTTTGTGAAATTGAATTTGGCTATTTAGTTACCTTGGCTGGCAATGAACTCGTATTCGTCAGGTTTGTAACTCTGGAATGAGTGGTTGAATTATTACGATCAATCTCAAAAACTTGTTGATTATTAAAACCAAAAAAATTCATTCCCTCACCTGTACGTAGCTTGCGTTAATGTAATCTGAGCATGGTAAGCCGGGAATTTCTTTCAATTTCACCCGATTTTTGTCAACTAGATTGCGAAAAATAATGTTTCTCAAACTAAAATCAACTTAATTTTACAAAAAAGTAATTTGAAATTAAATTTTAAGAGTAGATAAAGTATACATTTTAAATTAATTTTACGAATCTTCGAAGTTTTTTTTTTTACAAAATTTTCATCTCAACTAACACGGGTACATATCTTTGTATCTGTTCTTTCCGAGTTTCAAATCGTTTGGTAAAACTGCACAGCTACAAGGCTCGTCGCTCTTTATAACTGGAACACTCTGACCAGGATTTGAAAGAAATATATTGAAAAATATTGAATAAACTTGGAAAAAATCATCTTTTAAATGAAATGAATAGATTAATAAACAAGAATAAAAGGTTAGTTAGAAGTAATTCTCAATGAAAGTATAATTGAAATAAAATTTATAACTCAATTTCTGTCTGTACAACCTCAAACTGCGCCGTTATGGACTTAATGTTTTTCTTGTAATATTTTTCAACCTCGTTTAAGCGAATTAAGGTTGATTCTTCGAGATCTATGATACAAAATCGTATTCTATTTATTAATAATAGAAGTTATCATCAATTAAATGTGTATGTGTGTGTGTGTGTGTGTGTGTGTGTGTGTGTGTGTGTGTGTGTGTGTGTGAATTTAAAAGGGATGTGTGAATTTTGTTAACTATTCAAATCTATATATCGCTAAATAGCTAAACAGTCTGACTTACCCAGTTTCGCGTACGGCTTTGGAGAGCTATTTACGAGATAAAAAAATTCATTAACAATCCAAAAAAAATTAAATGTATAGTTTCATAAAAATATTTTCATAATTTGTATAATTAATTTTATTAAAGACCTATAATAATTTTTCAATTTGGGTCCTACATAGTTGCCAACCGTCTCGAGTTGGGCGAGACAGTCCCGAATTTCGCCCCCCATCCAGCGTCCCACTTTGGTGTCCGCGGGACACACATTTGACCCGCTATTTTGGAAAACCCAAACAAAAAGTGAAATAACGAAGAAGCAATTGAATAATAGATTTAAAAAAGCTCACTGAATTATACATAAGCGCCGATTTCTTTGATGTTTCTAACACAAATAACAATTTTTAACTTCATCGCCAGGTCGGTGATGATCACGATTTCAACGAAACACATCAAAGGAAAATTTCAGATACCGGCGTTTTAATTAAACCGCGATATCGATCATGATTGTGATTCTTAATAAAACTACAAAAGGGAAACGCCGACTGTTAATTTAATTTAATTTAATTGAGATATCGATGATGATTATTATGATCGTACAAAAAACAAAGTACTATCGCGATTGACAACTGTATAGTGTATATATATATTTATATATGTATACATATGTGTATGTATGTATGTGTGTATGTGTGTGTGCGTGTGTGTGTGTGTGTCCCGCTTTTGAAAATCAAATTGTTGGCACCTATGGTGATACCCAGCTGTTGCATTTTTCAAAAACAGTTACTAAACTCACCAGCCCTATTCGCTACTGCCAATAAGTACACAAAAAATGACAAACAAAATTATCATAATAAAATAATAATAAAATATTAATAATTTATTTATTTAAAACCAAAAATAATATTTACTCTTTTCTTCGTTTTCTCAAGCAAAATATAACTCCGACGATTACACCGATGATAAGTAGGAGGCCGAAGAACCCACCCACTACCCCTCCTATGATAGCTGCCTTGTTCGGAGCAGCTGTTTTTATGAAAATTGTAATTTTCCATATTTAATTACAATTAATTAATTAGTTAATATATATTTTATATTTAATTACGGTTAAATAATTTGCTAATTAAAGTTTTAATTGATCTGAGTTTAATTATTTAGATAGATTTCAGTTTCAATCGCTCTCTAAAAGGTTTGTCCCGTCGTTGTTGTCGACTTGAACGAAAATTTTTTAAATTTTTTTATCAAGAATATTCTTCAAGTCGTTTCAACCATGAATTATACATTTATTTTGGAGATTTGAAATTTTTTAAAGTTCTATTTTTAATTCTGCGAAATCTTCAATTTGAATTTTGAAAAATGAAAAATTGAACTCTACCTATGCAAGTATCTTTATTGTCTCTTTCGTAACCAGATATGCACTCGCATGAGTGTGATCCACCTGTGTTGACACATGACTCAAACTCTTGCTTGCATGTCGTCAAGCATTCGTCTATGTCTAAACAAATTTCATTTCAAATGGTGAAATTATTTTTTGTGTAAAAATTTGTGTGTGGATGAATTTTTGAGTTATTTTTGAATTAAAATTAGATTTGAGGTGAATGTCCATTGAAAGGTGTTAAAAGAACTTCCAAATGTTATCAAATGAAAAACAAACCATTACAACTGTAGTTATTATTAAGAATTTGTTGAAAGCCTTCAATACAAGTGCATTTATAAGAGCCAACAGTGTTTTCACAGAAAGTTGAGGTAGTATTACACTTGTTCAGTGAGGAACTTTTACATTCGTCAATATCTGTTTGGCATGATAATGAGATTTTTTTCATCCTAATTGGTTTAATTTGTTTGATTTTTAGACAAAAAGTAAATGAGTTTGATAATTTTAATTTCATGAACCTTGGCAGCTGTATATGTCTGATTTTTTCTCATATCCACTAAGACATGCACATTCGTATGATCCAGCAGTATTTGAACAGGAGGTTGTTGCGTTGTCACATTTGTTCAACGAAGGGTACATGCACTCGTTCAAATCTTAGTTTCAATATAGATTTATTTGATAAAAATGAAATTGAATCCAACAAAAACATTTCAATTTTTTTCCAAAACAACTGAAGTCTTCAACCAACCTTTGCAGTCTTCTCTGTAGGTGGTTTTGTAGTACCCCTCCTTACACTGGCATTCAGACATGGTGTTGGTACCACCAGTTGTAACAGACACACACGTGTGGACGCCACATGAGCCACTGTTAACGCTGCAGTCTGAAAAATTTCAAACCAACGCTTATTTGATAAAATTTTGAATGACGAAATTTGAAGTTGAGTTTGTCAGTTGTGGCGATCAGATCATTAATGGCGTCGTAATGTTTTTAAATTTTTTTTCATTTTTTGTCAGCAATTCTGAAGACATGCATCAAAAAATTTAATTTAAATTTTTACAATGATCCGGTGTTCCAAAACCACTTCATTTTTGTACACAACATTATTTTATTTTTAGTGTGTGCAAATAAATGATTTCATTCATTCAATCATTTATCAAGTACAAACATTACTCGAATGTTGTTTGAAAAATTATTTATCAGTACTCAGGTGTAGTATATTCAGACTTTGATAAAAAAAATGTTAGACGCAAATTAGTTTAAATCACATAAAATATTTTAAAAGGTAATTTTGAAAAACCTCTGTCATCACAGACGTCACCATTCCATCCAGTCACACAACTTTGAGATGGACAAACGTCGGAGCCAGCAGTTGCTCCAGCAGAACAGTGAGTGGTTATGATGCATTGACCTGATGACAACAAATCCAACTGAGGTGGTAAGGTTGTGGGAGACGGAGATGAAGAAGCTGGAGCAGCATTTAGCGCACAATCTTTCACTTGAAATAGTAACAATTGTTTTTCAGTATTAACCGAGTTTTCAACAATTTTGAGGTAATTTGTTTTTGGTACAAACCGCTATAGAGAGAGTAGTAACTGAAGCCACCACACATGTAACCATCGTCTGAGCAGGTTAAGTTGCAGTTGGATAGTGGAGATGATATCAGTGGTGAAGGTAGCGAGGTATAACTCAGACATGAACATTCTTTACCGTTCTGATAAAAAAGAGTTGTTAAAAATTACAATTATCAAATATTTTATAAACCTGTGTCCAATTAATTAATAAATTGAGTTAAAATCTAACTGCTAGTCATATATTTATTTATATTGAAGAGAACCTTTAAACAAATAAGGTTGGTCAAATTCTTTAAACGTATACGTATTTAACTGTATACGTTCGTATACAGTTAAATAATAATAAAGTTTGTTAAATTCTGTAACTATAACCATGAAAAACATAATGTTCAAACAAGTTTTAAGATAAATTAATATATTTTGAAACAAAATTGTTAATAACCTTTATAACAAAGAACTGGTATGCAGTACATTGTGTGGAACATTGTTCAACGGCTGCCACGTCCAACTTGTGTGTGCCCTCAATGTTTGAATAGCAACCCAGATGGTTGTCGTCGTATATCTCTGCACCAGTTGGATGTTTGGGAGAAAGTTTAAAATAAGTTTAAAAATAATTTTGTAAACAATAATGATTTGAGAAATTTTTTTAATCTGAATTTTATTGAGCGCAATTTTTTTTTACAAAATGATTATAATCAATTTTACTGTCACCTGATCCATAGACTTCCAATTCTTCTACGTTAAACTCACCAGAAGTAACAGCCTGTTGAAGCATAACATACCTGGATCTCAAGTAGGGTTTCTTACAATACAATGTCTCTAAGTCAGGTTTTTGGAATTGTTTGGTAGAAGTAGCACAGAGTTCATTTTTAATTAATGATACGTTGGTAGCAGAGTTGAAGTTGTTTGTTAGTCCCACTGAAAAACCATTGACACGTTCCCCTGAATTTGATAGAAAAAAGTTTAAGAGAGGAACAAGAATTTCACACGAGCAGTCATGAATATTGAAAACTCACAACAGCAATCAGTACGTGGATACATGGTGACGTACAACACTCGATACTTCTTCTGCAGATCAATCACAAACCACCCTGCACTCCCATCAGCTGTATTCGCCATGTTGCCATATTCCTTTTTTATTCCATCGACTGCTTCTTCAGGTCGATACTCATTTGAATAAACTGAACTTGCATATATCGGCTTTCTTAATGCCAAATTTGTGTTTTGACCTTTCAAATGTAAAACATGGTTCAGACATAACTTTGAAATGAATTCTAATAGGTATCAGTCAATTTTTCATATTTTTATATTGTAGAAATAAATTCTATTTTGTTTGTTATTTGTAAATTTCATAAACTAACCGTATACGCAAAGCATCAAAAGAAGAATCAAACAAACGGATGTTATAATGTGCTTCATATTCCTATGAGCCAATAGCAATTTAAACAGTTTAAATTGCCAAATCAGGATCAAATTCTTTTTATATGTTTGCAGAACTTGCTTTTGGAAAGCTTAGTTCGATACGAAATGCTAATTAAACTTGTAAAATAAGTTACTCCATCATATTTTCAAAATTATCACAGTCAAACCGACCAGGAAGTTCTCATGAAATCAGGTACTGCTCAACTCTCTCGTTCACTTGGTTATGCAAAATGAAGCCAGTTTGTCAGTTGTACATGCTTTATTTGCTTCGAAAACTAACAACACCTATTGATACTATCTTTAGAAATATGAATAATAATTTTATATAGGTAAATACACACATATATACAGTACACACTCACATATATAAGCGTACATATAAATATTATAAATAGAGATACTACTACATATTTATGTAATACTGTACATGATCATACAACTTAAAATACAATTACATATACGTATAAACTTCTTGTGGAAGCTTCTTTTGTTGATGAATGAATTGCTAGAGTCTATTATTATCTCGTACGTAATATTTGCTGGTGGACTTACATGAGTCTTCTTTGTCCTTCTATGTAGTTACGTATTTTCTGAAAAGTCTGTAGTGTGGTTGTATATTTTGGTGTATTACTACATATGATTACCTTTCTGTAAGTTTTATTGCTTTATGTTGGTATTTGTTTTTAGCGATCATACATGTGTATGCATCTTATAAACTTTTATACCAAATTTCATGCGTATTACAAATGTAGAGGAACATTTTGTAGGTGCAGTTGCTGCTACTTCTGACAAAGTTTGATTGAAACTACGTAAATCGGAAACGTCATTTCAAGAGATGGTAGAGATAGAAAAAGTGACTGATGTTTCTTTTAGTATATTAACCCTGGCAAACACTTTTAGTTTAGTAACCAGAGTTTTGGTTCGGTGGCCTTGGTACATTCAAAATAAACGTCCGATGATGTAAACTGTGTGTTGAAGAGGAATGGCACAATTGAATTAAAGAAAAAATAAATAAAAAATTATTTTTAAATGTCTATCTTAACTCAAAATATCACTATTAATTTACCAAACTTGCAAGAATGTATCCATAAGCTTGGATATTTCAACATTCATCTATTTCTATACTTGCCATATATTTAGTATGTAAGTATGTATCTATGGTATGGGTTTTTAATTTAATTTTAGGTTGTGTTAATTTTTTTATTGAAATGGTTTTAAGTTAATTAACTGAAGATTTGATGATGGGCTTTAACGTGATTTGGCTATTATAATGAAAATCAAGATATAACTCTTTCAATGTTTCAATCAATAAAATAGTTTAATATCCACTAAAATTTATATACGATTAATCATATTTTTCTAAATTTCAAAATGATTTAACACAAAAGAACAACATCTGATTCAACAAAATAATTTTCATCAGACAACATCGCCAAACCAGAAATTAGTTATAAATAGTAGAGCGTTTAGACAGTTTGATATCGTCAGTAAGTTGGGTGTACAAGTGATCGGAGAGTGGTCTCTTCTCGGAAAGACTTTTAACAGCCTGGTGAATATGGATATACTGGTTCATGGTGATGAAGACTTCATCATTGTTGTAGCTATAAGCGTCGTAGGTGGGGTTGAGGTTGTGGTCAGTGTGTGGTTGAAGTTGGAGGACAGTCTGGAAAACATCAGCGTGTTCGTGGGTGTCAACCATTTCCAGCAATGACAACATCACCAATGTTTCGTTTAAGATCCTGTCCTCAGAAGGCCTAAATTGTTAGAACATTTTCTCTAGATATTTTTTTCTAGATTTTCAGATTTCGATTTATTTTTTTTTCCAATTTATTATAACAAAAATTTGAACGACGCGACAGCGTATTATGTAAAGGTTAAAACGCCTGTTGCAGTAACCAAGTTTGAATTACAAATGAACCCAACTACATGCGTTATGTGTTAACTGTTGATATCTCTTGAAATTACTAAAGATTAAATAGTACAAAAAAAATTTGTATAAATTTAATACTTACCCGTAAAGAACTGGTATGATAGGTGCTTGAGAATTTTTTAGCTCAGTCTTAATCGATTTATAGAGGCTCGCAATTTCATTCAGGGCTTTGTATTGAAAGACCTTAACGTAATGTACGTCAGACTCACTTCTTTCGTATGCATCATCATTCCCGACAACGTAGTCGTAGCCTGAGTTAGTAACTTTCAAAATGGTGACGTCATTGTTGTCGTCATCATTCACGTCATCTTTAGTGTTTGTGTAAATGTTTCGATCGTTCTCATACACAGAGGTGCAATTTAGAACAGTGTAGCTTGAAAATTCAAAAAACTCTCCTGGTTTTGGGATGATTTTCTTCAAAATCTGCCAGTTTCATGAAGAAAGTTTAAATATTATTTGAAATTTCTCACTAAAACATTTAAATATGACTCTGGTGAATTATATTTGGAATCAAATCACTTGCCTTTTTTAAACTTTCCGACTCAACTAGGACTACCACAGAACTTTCACGAACGATGTCTCTGAATAGTTCATCTCCAGTCAGGCTGTCATTAATTTCACAAGTCAGTATGGCTCTCGACTTCGTGAAACACTACATTTTGAAACAAAAATTTGAAATTCTTTTTCAGATAACTTATTTTATAGTATTAATAATTCATTAAAACTGATAAAATTATAAATTTGTGGCTATTTAAAAAAAAATTTTTTTAGATGGTTAATTTTTCTGTTTAACAAACTCGTTCCAACTAAGAGATTTTCGAATTTATGATAAAAATCCTTACCCTCCATATTGAATGGGGATTGTGAATTCTCTCAATCCTTGTTTCAACACCTAAATGGGAAATTAATAAAATCTTATTACTTTGTTGATTAATAAAACAAATAATAATAAAACAATTAATTAATTAATTCATTATTTATTCATTCAATCTAAATTTCTAGACTGTAATCTAACCATTTTTCTCATCACCAGATTTCAAACTGTTTTCAATTAGTGCCTGGTTTGATTGAAGATAAATTTTACATACAAATAGATAAAAACTGAAAACTTATTAGGATGAAGCGATAAAACAAATAAAAAAACCGTGCAATGAAATGTTATTCTTTTTATTCAAAATTACAAACAAAGCAATAAATATCAAGAAAAACAAATACGAATGAACCTTATACTGTGTTTCGATAGAGTTTTTAAACTCTTTGCTATTAACAAAGTTTGAAAATTCTTTATTTCTCGTTGAAAAACATGTCGTGTGTCCCAACTTACTGTACTCAATCAAGGCTTGGAACAAAAAATCACATTGCTCCTGAAAACAGTTTGGTAGATAATATTACAATGAATACCTCTTTAAACAGAAGTATGATTTACCATACCACTGATTGAACCATGCAGTTTCGTTGAGATCTGAGAAACTGCAGACACTGGAAAACGTCAACAGAGCCAACGTCGTCGCACTCTTCCAGCAAGTAATCCAACCCTAGGAATGCACCGGTTCTACCCACACCAGTACTAAAAATCCCAACAAAACATAAAATTCTGATGACATTCTTGGCAAATAGATTTGTTTTTTCGAGTGTTTGATCTTTAAGTTCAATTTGAAAATCAGTAATTTTTTAAAAATACATGTCTTAAAAAGCTAAAAAAACTATGAACCTGCAGTGAACGAGCACATAAGACAAAGGATTATTATTATTTTCATTATTAACCACGCGACATTTGACCGCGTGGTGAAAGTTCAGCAGACTTCCAATGTTCTCAGGGACATCTCGTTCGGACCAACACCTGTACCACATGTGAGTCACAATCATTTTCGTTGACAACTGTCAGGAATTGAAATATACAAATGAATAAAATTTACATATAATGATATAATCGAGGATAACCATTTCGACCATAATGCTAACAATGCACGTTCAAAATTGTTCACAAGCAAGATAGACTCACGTAAACTACGGCGAATGTTCTTATCTCATAGGTTGGCCAACTTTCTACTCTTTGAAATGTAACAGAGATGTGGTTCGATCTCTTTCTCGTAACATTTATCTTCATTGTCCCATTATCTGGCCAGTATTTGGCATACGTCTCCTTCACGATCATTATTATTATCCTTATTATAATGATAACTATTACACAACCTAGTTCTGCGTACATTTATATTTGTGAGTTTTTGTACAAAATTTTCAAATCGTTGGTATTAACTCAACATTGAGTTGTGGTGATAAAACTACAAATGCTATTAAACAATATATTGAAATATTTATACATTTGCATATTCCTCAGGCGATCCGAACATTACGATGACTTTGATTCCAATCTCGACAATCATCCTCCAGAAGTTGCTCACCGTGTCTGCCTGTGGATCTTGAAAGTAATACAAAGGACAGTAATTATGAAGTAATTTGTGGTCTGTGTATCAGGTATAAATTTGTCAAAATTTGGAATGTTTGAACTTACTTGTCGTGGAGATAAATCGATAGGTGTGTAGTTTATAGCTCTAAAGGGAAAGAAACATGGTTTATGATCTATATTTACATGTCCAAATTTATGAGTTTGAATTTGTTAGAATTTTAAATAATTAAAATATGATAAATTATGTGAAAAAAATAGTGAAATTGGTCATATTGTAGAACCTTGATATAGCTTGCATTGATGTAATCTGAATCCGGCATATTTTCAAGGAGTTTCAATCTCACTCTGTTCACATCAACTAGATTTTTTTTATATAAAATAAAAAAACAACTTAATTTAGAAAATTAAAAATTAAAAAAACACAAAAATATAAAAAAAAAGATGACGAAATTAACATGGAAGTGTGGAATAATCTGTGTTGCTGGTATGATCTCCATTTGCTTTGAGGGCATGTTCACATGGTTCGTCAGGGTTTATGAGTGGAATTTGCTTGGTTGGAAAATTTTTTAAATATTTTAGTAAATTTACAAGAAATAACTAAGTAGTATAATTCAAATTGAATTCAATTTTCATTGTCCTGAGATTTTTGATGTAAGTTCTTTTCTCACTTTGAATTGTTTTTGAATGGCGCTTGAATGTTCCTTATAAAATCCTTCTAGTCTGTCTAGTTTAATCCTGTCGGATTTTTTCTTTACTTTGAGAAGATGAAAAGATAAATTTGAAATTAATTTATTCAAAATTGTTTTTCCCTATTTGTGTAATGTTTATTTTGAAAAAAAAAATTAAAATTCTAAACATTAGCTGCAAAATTAGAAGCGTCAAACAACCTACCGAAATTAACTCGTGGACTCTTTGGACTGAACATGAAAGAAATATATAAACATAATTTTACAATTTCAAAACCTCCAATATTGATTTATATTTTTGTAAATTAAATTACCAAAAATATAAAAACGACCTTGCTTTACGATTCCTTCTTAAACAAACCACAAATGCAACTGTCAGACCAATGATGACAATGAGACCCAACGACCCTCCAACCACTCCTCCAATGATGGCTGACTTTGATGAACTGAAAACTTTAATGAGTTAATTGGGTTATAATAAATAAATTTATTACATTTTATAAAACTTTATTATAATTAATTAAATTAGTATAAAAAATTTGTTGGAAGCCTGGACTACGAAATAATTTGCTAATTGGTAAGTTTTAATTGATCTGAGTTTAATTATTTAGATAGATTTCAGTTTCTATCGCTCTCTAAAAAGTTTGCCTCGTCGTTGTTGTCGATTTAATAAACGAATAAATTTTTATCAAGAACATTCATCAAGTCGTTTTAACCACGAATTATACATTTATTTTGGAGATAAGAAGTTTTTCAAGGTTCTATTTTGAATTCTACGAAATCTTCAATTTAAATTTTGAAAAAAAAAATTGAACTCTACCTATGCAAGTATCCTTATTGTCTCTTTCGTAACCAGATATGCACTCGCATGAGTGTGATCCAACTGTGTTGAAACATGACTCAAACTCTTGCTTGCATGTCGTCAAGCATTCGTCTATTTCTAAATAAATTTCATTTCAAATTGTAAAATTATTTTTTGTGTAAAAATTAGTATGTGGATGAATTTTTGAGTAAATTTTGAATAATAATGAGATTTTTTTTATCCTGAATGGTTTACTTTGATTGTTTTTTTAATTTCATAAACCTTGACAGCTATATATGTCTGATTTTTTCTCATATCCACTAAGACATGCACATTCGTATGATCCAGCAGTATTTGAACAGGAGGTTGTTGCGTTGTCACATTTGTTCAACGAAGGGTACATGCACTCGTTCAAATCTTAGTTTCAATATAGATTTATTTGATAAAAATGAAATAGAATCCCACAAAAACATTTCAATTTTTTTCCAAAACTACAAAAGTCCATTTTTTCTATACAACTGAAGTCTTCAGCCAACCTTTGCAGTCTTCTCTGTAGGTGGTTTTGTAGTACCCCTCCATACACTTGCATTCAGACATGGTGTTGGTACCACCAGTTGTAACAGACACACACGTGTGGATGCCACATGAGCCACTGTTAACGCTGCAGTCTGAACAAAATTTAACGCAACCAGAGTTTGATAAAGCTTTTGAAGTTGAAATTTGAATTGTTGGAAAAGTTTACGTTTCAAAAGTATTTTTAACAACGTTATATAGTTTCACGTGCGAATTTGCTTGAAAAAATAATGTTTCAGCTCTCAGTTGAAATAAAAAAACTTTTATATTCCGCATAAACAATGGTGCAATATTTGAAAAAAATTTGAACATTTTCTATTTGCTACAAACCTCTGTCATCACAGACGTCACCATTCCATCCAGTCACACAACTTTGAGATGGACAAACGTCGGAGCCAGCAGTTGCTCCAGCAGAACAGTGAGTGGTTATGATGCATTGACCAGATGACAACAAATTCAACTGAAAAGATAAGGTTGAAGAAGCTGGAGCAGCATTTAGCGCACAATCTTTCACTTGAAATAGTGACAATATTTTTTCCATTATTAACTGAGTTTTTTAATTTTGAGGTAATTTGTTTTTGGTACAAACCGCTATAGAGAGAGTAGTAACTGAAGCCACCACACATGTAACCATCGTCTGAGCATGTTAAGTTGCAGTTGGATAGTGGAGAGGATATCAGTGGTGAAGGTAGTGAGGTATAATTCAGACATGAACATTCTTTGCCGTTCTGATAAAAAAGAGTTATTACATATTATGATCATCTAACATTTTCTAAGCCCATATCTATTATATATTAATAAATTAAGTTAAAATCTAACTGCTAGTCATATATTTATTTATATTGAAAAGAACCTTTAAACAAATAAGGTTGGTCAAATTCTTTAAACGTATACAGTTAAATAATAATAAAGTTTGTTAAATTCTGTAACTATAACCATGAAAAACATAATGTTCAAACAAGTTTTAAAATAAATTAATATATTTTGAATCAAATTGTTATTAACCTTTATAACAAAGAACTGGTATGCAGTACATTGTGTGGAACATTGTTCAACAGCCGCCACGTCCAACTTGTGTGTGCCCTCAATGTTTGAATAGCAACCCAGATGCTTGTCGTCGTATATCTCTGCACCAGTTGGAGAAAGTTTAAAGTAAGTTTACAAGAAGTTATTCTGTAAATAATAACAATTTGAGAGATTTTTTTTATTTTGTAGCGCAATTTTTTAATTTTTGTTGCAAATTGATTACAATCAATTTCACAGTCACCTGATCCATAGACTTCCAACTCGTCTACACTAAACTGCCCATTAGTAATACCCTGTTGAAACATAACATACCTGGATCTCAAGTACGGTTTCTTACAATACAATGTCTCAGGGTCAAATGATTGGAATTGTTTGGTAGAAGTAGCACAGAGTTCATTTTTGTTTAATGGCCCGTTGGTAGCAGAGTTGAAGTTGTTTGTTAGTCCCACTGAATAACCATTGACACGATTCCCTGAATTTTATAGAAAAAAATTTAAGAGAGGAACAAGAATTTCACACGAGCAGTTATGAATATTGAAAACTCACAACAACAACCACTATAAGGATACATGATGACGTACAACACTCGATACTTCTTCTGCAGATCAATCACATACCACCCTGCACTCCCTTCAGCTGTATTCGCCATGTTGCTATAATCCTTTTTTATTCCATCGACTGCTTTCTCAGGTCGATACTCATTTGAATAAATTGAACTTGCATATATCGGCTTCCTCAAAGCCAAATTTGTGTTTTGACCTTAAAAGTTTTTTAAAACAATGTATATCTTTTGGACACGCACACACTCACACACACGCACGCACACACACACACACATTTACATATTTTAATTACCTACCGAACGTGAAAGGTTCCCAAGCAAAAAACAATGAGAAATAGGTTAAAAGGTATCTCATTTTATTAGCATCCATTTTTTTCATTCTTTTACAATCTAACAAACTTTTCTTAATTCCAACAGTTTAAAATTTGTTTCAAATTTGTTTCAAATTATATGTCAATTAACACTTATTTGAAAAAATTCATTAAAAATTAATAATTTTTTTAAATATTAGAACATACAAAGACATGACTTGAAAAACTTCCTTAATTACAATGTTTCTTCAATACTCAAATCAACTAAAGAATATTAATAATTAATATTTTCTTTACATCTACAACTAACAAACCGTTAATTTATTTAATATTATTTCAATTATAATTATAAATATAATAAACTATCAATTCTACAGAATCAAATACATACATGCATATATGTATTTTCAGCGTTACGATCACATTTAAACAAGGAAGTCTTCAACACAAATACACAACACTCACAGCTCCTCAATAGAGCAAATGAATTAAAATGAAGAAATATAGTATTAAATTAGCTGAACAATAAAAACACACACATACCTCCACACACACACACACGCACACACACACGCACACAAACACACAAACACACACACACGCAGAATATAAAACTCCAAAGAACTGGTCAGACGAGTATTCCAGGAAATTGTTTATTCAACATGATGACGTCAGATTCAACGTCACGTTGTATATATACAGAAATAAAATCAACCAAAATAATTTAAAAATTTATGTACAAATGATAAGCATCGCCACCATCAGTCACTTTTTTACTGTTATTCGTGCTAGCAAGCATGGAACTGTTGTTATTATTATTGCTACTGTTCTGAAATTTCGTATTTTTACTCTTCACATTCTCTTGAATCAAGACCACATCAGACGAACTGGTGTAACAAACAGCATCTTCATCTCCATCATCACCAACACCACAGCCCCCATTATCACCCACAACCACCTGCCTACCCCCTCCGTCATCATTTTTGTCACCCTTGGCACCATTTTTAAGATTGGGGATGTCTTTTCTTGCCATGTTTTTCGGCCCCCAAATTGTTTTCCGGAGACTAGGCACTACTAGGCCGCAGTTTCTCCGACTGTTGGGGGAAGTTGAAGTTAGGTGTTCTTCGGCCAGGAGGTAGAGTTTTTTGTAATATTTCTGGGTGGTAAGATTTTTTCAAAAATATTTCGTTAAAATTAGAAAATTTGCTAGTGGGATGTTCATCGCGAACGAAATTTTTTAGTTTGAGAAAGTACATGAATTGGATTTTTTGACGTTACGAATGAATTATTGACTTAATGTTAATAACCAAGTTATATTCGGTAACTTTAGATCAAATTTGTACATTATTACTAAAAATTCTCTCTCTCTCTCTCTCTCACTCTCTCTCTCTCTCTCTCTCTCTCTCTCTCTCTCTCTCTCTCTCTCTCTCTCTCTCTCTCTCTCTCTCTCTCTGTTAAAATAATTTTCAACTCACATCGCTATTGAAACACTGAGGCTGGAATGATTTCAATTGAAAAACAACCCGATAGACGTCCAACTCATCTTCCTCATCCAGTATTTGAATCAGGTTCAAGCCAGCAACTATGTACCACAGGCTATCGTCGTAACCGTTTCGGCTATTGAAATAACATATTTCTAATTTTATCAATAGATCAATGAATTTTTAAACATAAAACTGAAAAAAGTTTAATTTGAAAAATTCTTTTGAAAAACAAAAAATGACAGAATATGAATGTAACATCTTTTTACTGTGCAAGAAACACGGCCATTTTATCTGCTCTGCCAGACAATTTTCTATAAATAGATTTTATGACGTCATTCAAACAAGGATCTTGATTGGTCGACGAAGTCACGTGGAAGAAGGAGCAAGTAGGCTTGGTGTTTTCCTTTGAGAAAAATTTACAAAATTCACACATACACACACAAACACACATACACACACACATACTTACCCACTCAAAAACATAAATAGACACACATATACACACGCACGCACACACACATACATACACATACATATATCTGATCACATGGATCTGTGGCACTGCTATTATTGTATACATGCATATCCTCAGAAGGGTTTTTGGTAACTTCGAAATTGTACAAAGTGACATCTGGTGTGATATTTTCAAAGTTGGTTAACTTGATTCCACCAACATCCAATGTTTTCTGGTTTTGGTCGTTTTTTGGTTGTAGTAAGCTCAATCCATTTCCCTATTGGTGATTAAATAGATTGTCAGTACTATCATCATTGCTATTTCCATCAAATGTGTGTGTTTGTGCGTGTGTGTGTGTGTGTACGTGCGTGTATGTGCGTGCGTGTGTGTGTGTTTGTGTGTGTGTGTGTTTAAATACCTTGGTGGTTGGCTGAGCGTCATCAACAAATACGACCACGTCAATATTGTCAGTGAAGAGGAATGCCAAATCCTTGTCGCATATGCCGTCTGGAGTGTTTCCGACTGTGTATTTATTCCGGCTGACAGGATCCTGGGAGTGTTTAATAAAAATGCATGTACTGTCTGTCATTCTAGATGACGATATCCTTGAGAAGTGACTAAGAGGAATAATAATAATGAAAAAAAAAATAATAATGATGACGATGATGATGATGATGACGATGATGATGATGATGACGATGATGATGATGATGACGATGATGATGATGATGATGATGACGATGATGATGATGGCGGTGGTGGTGATGATAATTTAACACCTACATGGGCAGTCAGAGTTTCAATGGTGGAGGTTGATAATTTCAATTGGAATTTCAATCCACCTAACAAAATACGTTGAATAGATTTTTTAATTTATTAATAATAAGATTAATAATATTAATAATTATATAGTGAAATGATAATAATTTTTTTTTATTATAACGCCATAATAAAATCTGAAACATACTTTTTTGTGCTAAAGAAGCTGTTTCTTTTTTTATAACCTACAATCACGAAGTAACATTTCCTCATTTTCACAAAAAAAAATAAACAAAATAATTAAAATTTAAATTGAAAATATATGAATATTTATTACTCGATGTATGAATACTAATTAACTTAAGTAATATATTTCATTAGCCTTGCCTGAAATTGTTTCTCCACAATGCTGGACACCCCTTTCTTAATTTTAAACTCCTCCAACTGCCTCACACACTCATCTTTGTCCTCAGAGGATATATAGGTGGACTTACCCATGAGGTAATACAGCACGATGGCTCGGAAGCATAGCTCGTACTGAGACTATTTTTTGAAGTTTTTTTTTGTTTTTATAGAAAAATATTTATATACAAATAATAATTAATATCTATAATTATGATTATTCTCGCTATGATATTTAAACTCATTCACTGCAGTTGTAGTGCCAGACACTTTAACCACTACACTACTCCTACCGCGCCGTCAGGTTATAAATTTACATTGCAGTAACATGACATTATCGTCAAGAAGGTTTTATATGTTGTTTAGGTGTACTAACAAAAGCTTGAACCATGTTGTAACGTTGGCCCCTCATGTATTTCAAACATTCAAAAACATCCACACAGCCAGTCTGTTCGGCCTCGTTTGCCAAATAATCAAGCGCTATATAAGTCCCAGTTCTTCCGACGCCGGCACTGAAAAATGAAAATGTTTGGCGCTATAAAAATTATCTTTTGTGTATCATCAAGTCAAATTATCGTCATTATTATCTTGATATTTTTATCATTCATCTTCTTTCAACTTTAGAAATATTACTCTAAAATAGCAAGGAGCAGTATTCATAGCAGCAGTAGTATTATAGAAGTATTAGTAAGTAGTAATGGTAGTGGCAGTCGTAAGAGCAGCAGTCGTCGTAGTAGTAGCAGCAGTAGCAGCAGCATTTGCGGTTGTTGTAGCACTCAAACAAACCAGACCTGCAATGAACGACAATCATATTCGTCACATTAGGATCGGCCAGTGAAAGCATCTTATGGCGCAGGTTCCACAGACTTGCCACATTTTCAGGTACACCTTTGTCTAGCCAGGCCGTGTATAACAAATGATGGATTTTTTGGTTTTTTCTTAAATTCTGTAGGTTTGTTTTTTTGGTTTGGGAGATTTTTTTCTTCAAGATATTGAAAATAGTATTATTAGTGAGCAAATTAGTGACGGTTTTTGTGACGTCATACGGTAAGTTTGAAATGATCTGGAGATGAAATAGTTGGAGATGTGTATGTTAATGGTTAAAAAGTGATAATCATGTTAAATGTGAGTGCGGTTCCATTAAGTAACATTTCAAAAATTTCTGAATTTTAAAAAGATTCGTGATAAAATTGAAAGGAATGAAAAATGAGCAATTCGATAGTGACATTTTTCAAGTTTTAAGCAACACTTATACAAATTGTTCAATCCATTTTCATACCTTATGAAAATAAAAATCCAAATTGAAATAAACAGACAAAAAACAAATAAATCAACAACAAATGAACAAGAATTTAGAAAAAATCTTCAAAAATGCTAACCGAATCAACAGAGAAACTCGAAGCTCATAGTACAGACTCATCATCTCACGGACGCACTTAACCCTAATG